AAGGTTATTGATAATTTTTACAATGGTTGGGGACTGGGCTGTTCTTATAGCTGACTGCCCTGCAAGCAAGCATGGGCTGATGCGGCTGTAGTGTCGAACAGCAATTCTCGGCTAGGGGATCTCAGGTAGTAGGAGCCGTTGTCGAGGATGGTGCAGAAGCTTCTTACCAAATTTGCAGATGAGGTCGTGGTGATGGTCAGTGAGAGTCGAAAGGGTCAGTGTGTTGAACGCTTCTTGATATGTGGAGAGAATAATCTTGCATGCCCTCTTTTGCACTTTTTCTAGGTGTTTACGTTGTGTGGCATTTAGGGAGGAAGACCAGGTAGGGGAGGCATAGGTGAGCTTGGGAAGTATGAATGTTGAGTAAACACTGAGGAGCTCGGGTGCAGGAACTCCGAGGGACTTGAGTCGGCAGAGGAGGTGGAGACGGAAACTGGAGGATTTGACAACTTCACTGACGTGTGGTTTTCAATTTAGTTTGTTGTTTATGGTGACGCCGAGGAGCTTAGTGGAATCTACAACCTGGAGTGTGTTCGGACCTAAAGTAATGGAAGGGGGTGGGACAATGTCGGAGGAGAGGTTGATGTGCATAACCATGGTCTTGGTATGGTTGATGGTGACGTGGTTGTTGGTGGCTCAGTTTTGGAGACTTCAATAAATCCTGAAGGGCGGTATAGTCGGGAGCAGAATTGTTGACACTGATCCCAATGGTGGAGTCGTCGACATATTTCCAGCGAGCAGAGGTTTCTCTTAGGGTATCATTGATAAGCATAAGGAAGCATAGTTCCCATCTTGGTGCCTTGGGGGACGCCACAGGTGAGTGACTGAACGGTGGAGACAGCACCTCGGAAGCGTACAGCGTGGCGTTGGTTACTGAGGATGTTTGTAAGCCATGGTATAAGATTTCTTCGAAACGTGTGTGTGTGTGTGTGTGTGTGTGTGTGTGTGTGTGTGTGTGTGTGTGTGTGTGTGTGTGTGTGTGTGTGTGTGTGTGTGTGTGTGTGTGTGTGTGTGTGTGTGTGAATTACTGATATAACAATTAGTTTTCTCGTGTATTTATCGCGGGTGAAGGCCAAAGCCAGAGTTTTATACACATGAAAACAATTCCTGGTATTTCATGCACTCATTCACTCGCGTCACAGCCAGTATCACAGTTAACGATGGAATAATTTTCGGTATCAAACTTACAAAAAAACAAAAATATATCTGGCGCATGAGAGAATGTTTTATGACCACCAAGAGTCAGCTGCGGCATCGTTTCAGTTTTCATTAAAATTGAGAGAGAGAGAGAGAGAGACACGCCGGTCACTATACAAAACATGCTACACCTGTCACACGTTTAGATTTCATCACGACAACACTGAAAGAGCGTCGAGCCCCACACGTCACCGCCAAGAGGCCTGTCTCCCTGCTGGTGTGCGTAACAGGGAGGTACTACCGCCTGGGAAGATATTGAAAACATAATGTATTGTCTAATGGTAGACCCTGCTGCCATATGTGACCAAGTCCCAGGTTGCTGATCTGACTTTCTGCCTCAGTTACACACAATTGCAGGGTCTCAATTGTTTCTCTTACTATTGACAACACAACATACATATATTGTTTCTCACTTTTGATCTATTTTATTTTTTTATTTCTTTGTGGTTCTTTATTATTATTATTATTATTATTATTATTATTATTATTATTATTATTATTATTATTATTATTGTATTTCGCCCCCCAGGCTCCGATGTGGGTGTTGGCCTGTGCCTGCGTGTGCTAATACATGTAAAAAGAAGAAAAAAAAGAAGAACTACTTTTTACTGCACTCCGCTGCCCACTAACCCGCCTGTCATAACATACTAGAAGTGTGTTTTAATTTTTGTAGCGTTCAATCATGTAGACTATATCCACTAGCAGCACTTGCGATATACTGTACATACTTTGAAAAGTTCCAAAATTATTCAGCTATATTAATTTTCCCCAGACTAGGCCTATTCAATTGACAAATATGAATATAGTTCATACAATAATGAATATATAAATGACCCTTTGTCGTATAGGCAGGTCACAGTTGATGACCACGTTGATGTAATCCACTGTGCAGCATCAGGCTCCATTAGTCACCCTCTTACACCCACCCTCCCTTCCCAAACAACACAACTCGTCACAACAGTTTGCTCGGCCTTTTTTTGTCCACAACTGTCGGGAGCTGGAGTACCCTGGCCTGGCGCCCTCTGGGAACAACAACTACACGTCCACACACACACACACACACACACACACGAGACGTAACCTGAGGCTCGTTAGTGGAGAAGTGATGAACACCGTCTGTGAGTCTCTCTGTCTGTCTGGCCCAGAATGTCTCCTCATACCAAGGCCAAGGAACGAGTTAGACGTCTTAACAAAAATATTTCATTCTCAATTTCACAACGTTATTTTGGTCTCAGTTTAGCCAACCCGCTACAAAGAAAACGGTCGAATTTGTGCCGATTTGGGAGGAAACCTTATTGATTTTTGTGATCCAGACCAGATATGAGTGATACAAGTCCTCCATGTTGCCTCCCTCACTCATACCTTGGTGGTGGTCATGTTAGTAACTAGTAGGAATGCAGGTGATATTGGTGATAGTGATGGTAGTGGCACTAAAGGTGATGGTAGTGGGACTAAAGGTGATGGTAGTGGCACTACAGGGGATGGTAGTGGCACTAAAGGTGATGGTGGCGGCACTAAAGGTGATGGTAGTGGCACTAAAGTTGATGGTAGTGGCACTAAAGTTGATGGTAGCGGCACTAAAGGTGATGGTGGTGGCACTAAAGGTGATGGTAGTGGCACTAAAGGTGATGGTAGTGGCACTACAGGTGATGGTAATGGCACTAACGTTGATGGTAGTGGCGCTAAAGTTGATGGTAGCGGCACTAAAGGTGATGGTGGTGGCACTAAAGGTGATGGTAGTGGCACTAAAGGTGATGGTAGTGGCACTACAGGTGATGGTAATGGCACTAACGTTGATGGCAGTGGCACTAAAGGTGATGGTAGTGGCACTAAAGTGATGGTGGTGGCACTAAGGGTGATGTTAGCGGCACTAAAGGTGATGGTAGTGGCACTGGAAGGTGATAGTAATGGCACTAACGTTGATGGCAGTGGCACTAAAGGTGATGGTAGTGGCACTAAAGGTGATGAAATGCTTTTGGCACTAAAGGTGATGGTAGTGGCACTAAAGGTGATGGTGGTGGCACTAAAGGTGATGGTAATGGCACTAAAGTGGTCGTGGCATTAATGGTAGTGGTGGTGATGGTAGTGATGGTGGTGGTGATGGTAGTGATGGTGGTGGTGATGGCAGTGGTGTTACATTGCGTTGTCACGCGATGGTGGCAGAAGAGGTGTCACTTGAGGGTGACAACAGAGGTGTCATGTGAGGGTGGCAACAGAGGTGTCACGTGACGGTGTCAGCAGTGGTGTTACGTGATTGTCCCAACAGTGGTGTCACGTGATGGTGGTAACAGTGGTGTCACGTGATGGTGGCAGCAGTGGTGTCACGTGATGGTAGCAGCAGTGGTGTCACGTGATGGTAGCAACAGTGGTGTCACGTGATGATGGCAACAGTGGTGTCTCGTGATGGTGGCAGCAGTGGTGTCACGTGATGGTAGCAACAGTGGTGTCACGTGATGTTGGCAGCAGTGGTGTCACGTGATTGTAGCAACAGTGGTGTCACGTGATGATGGCAACAGTGGTGTCTCGTGATGGTGGCAGCAGTGGTGTCTCGTGACGGTGGCAGCAGTGGTGTCACGTGATGGTAGCAACAGTGGTGTCACGTGATGGTAGCAACAGTGGTGTCACGTGATGATGGCAACAGTGGTGTCACGATGTTGGCAGCAGGTGGTGTCACGATGGTAGCAACAGTGGTGTCACGTGATGATGGGAACAGTGGTGTCACGTGATGTTGGCAACAGAGGTGTCACGTGACGGTGTCAGAGTGGTGTTACGTGATTGTCCCAACAGTGGTCGCGTGATGGTGGTAACAGGACGTGATGGTGGCAGCAGTGGTGTCACGTGATGGCAGCAGTGGTGTCACGTGATTGTAGCAACAGTGGTGTCACGTGATGGTAGCAACAGTGGTGTCACGATGATGGCAACAGTGGTGTCACGTGATGATGGCAACAGTGGTGTCTCGTGATGGTGGCAGCAGTGGTGTCACGTGATGGTAGCAACAGTGGTGTCACGTGATGTTGGCAGCAGTGGTGTCACGTGATTGTAGCAACAGTGGTGTCACGTGATGATGGCAACAGTGGTGTCTCGTGATGGTGGCAGCAGTGGTGGTGGCGGTACAGCTCCACCAACAAGTGGTGTGGCCACTGTATCAGGTTACCTACACAGTGGTCCTCAGCGCCGCCACAACACACCTTCTCCTTGCACACTTACCGCCGCCACTTAAGGAAGATAATATATTTCTTACGACCACTTTAATTTCCTCTTAAGTCGTAGGTTCGTGCTATGTTAACTGACTCAAATGACGACATAAAGATACGGTAACATAAATGTTCCCTTGAGACATGTAGCTTGACCGGTGGTGGTGAGGGTGGTGGTGATGGTGATGTTTGTGGTGGTGGTGATGATGGTGGTGGTGGTGATGATGGTGCTCTCTCAAGGTATTGTAATAGACAATGGCTGTATAATATGGTTCTGTAGGTGTTGTTCTCTTGGACAGTTATCTTATTGTGGGTGTGTGTGTGTGTGTGTGTCATGTACAGGTTGTGCTGTGTATAGAGAGTGGTGAGGCTTGCAAGTGGGTGTCCCTCGCCTCTGGTGAGGACGCCACTATCTCCAGGAGCGTGAGTGATGGACTCGGCTCCTATTCATGGGTCCACACCCACACACACACGCGCCGCTCTCTGTATGTCTCTCTCTCTCTCTCTCTCTCTCTCTCTCTCTCTCTCTCATGAACAAGTATACATACGTGTTATAGATGTCATAATGTATAGTAATAGCAGACGTGTAAGGAGATGTTGTTTCCACAGTTACGGAAGATCGGCGGCGGCGGGTTCGGGGAGATATACGAGGGTCAGGACCTGGTGACCCGCGAGCAGGTGGCCCTCAAGCTCGAGTCTGCCAAGCAACCAAAGCAGGTCCTCAAGATGGAGGTGGCCGTCCTCAAGAAGCTCCAGGGTAAGTATCCAATCCACCTTTACCTAGATTATTATATGGCTTGTGCAGTGGGTCAATGTATGTGGTGAGGTGGAGGAGAGGCATAAGTGGAGGTGCGTGTCACCACTGGTGGACACACTCGTGGCCCGGCCACAAACACTCAGCAGGTAGAGGGGCAAACTTGAGGCAAGCTTCCTGAGTGACAGTTGGCGTCGGTGAATTTTTCAAGAAGTTCATCCAGTATTCAGATTTTTTCTTTTCAAATCTTTAAGAATTATTAAAGTTAGATAGCGAAGAGATTTATTATAGAAAACAATTCACTGTTGACTGCAAAGGGGGCGTGGAAGTGTCTCTTGAAAATGAGGTTAAGTCAGTGAGAGAGCTAGATATTAAGCTAATATATAATAAAATGGATTTGTTTAAAGTAAATAAATAACAGTGTGAGCATTGTTTCAAGTTTTACGTCTTGGGAAATGAGCCAGAGGGCCATAAGAAGTCTATTTGTCAGCTAGACTGTGGGCTGTCTCTACGTGGAGACAGTTATGTATTAACGTGTGTGTGGGGACAGCCTGGGGTGGAGACGTTCCTGCTCTGTGCTTATTGAACACTCGCTATCAACACTTGTAGATTAGGTCATCTTCTCCGTCAGAATAAAATCGAAATGTCAAGGGTAAATAGTTTTGAAATTATGTTTACTGCATCTTGATTCAAGGTTATGTATGAGTGAGATTGTATGACATGAATGAAGACCTTCACCTAGTTATGCCGAGAGGAGAGTCTGGGAGCTCTTCATTTATCTTGCTGCTGCCATTTCATACGTCACGTGAGGACTATGAGCATACGATGATAGGTGGTGACGGTCGGTGTAGGTGTTTTTGGCTGGGGCACTCAGTCACCTGTGTTTACCTGGTCAAGCAGTAGTGCGTGGAGGGCGAGGCTGGTAAATTAGGGAAGGAGAGTGAAGACGGTGTGAGAAGCGGCACGTTCGCCTCATTTCAGCAGACTTTGACCAGTTTTATCTTGGCAAAATCGCTTTCCTCTCACGTGAAGACCTTGCAAGAGATCGCATAACTTGCAGACGTTGCAGAGCCACCAGAATTCTTTAACCCACCGAGAACCTATAAACTTTACTTTGAAGAAGTTTGAGACTTCCTTGGCACTTACTATGAGAGCTGTAACTTTGTTTAGGTTTGAGGAGATGTATTTCTGAGTCACTTTGAAGCAAGATATGGATGTTGGGAGGACAGGCGGCCGGGATGGGCGGGCTGGTAATCGATGGTTACACCCCCAAGGTCTTGCTGGTATGGTCCCCGCCCACCCCACACACCGCCGCCCTCAGGTGCTAAACCCGACATAAAAGCTCGGCCCCACTCCACCATACTACAACCTTGGTCCAACACCTGTGCCTTACGTATATACCCTTTCTAGAGTGACCTTTTTTCTCACCATGAAAATCATGACTTGCAGCAGTTGGCTGGCATCCCAATGTTGTGAGGCGCGATCCCTGCCTGGCTGGATAATGAGAATGTTGCTGACGTAGCTCGCTGTTTCCATCTTTCTTGTCTAAAATTTCATGTTTGCGCAATACTCTTAAGGTATTGATAGCTAGTCTCCTTAAGTTGATGTAACATAAGTCATTTATGGTGTAAGAATCCGCTTCATAACATGATGTGAACCGGTACGCAAATTAAGGAAATGGGCACCTTAGCTACGGTGACGGGAGCGATTTAACTTGGTAAACCACAGTGAACTAGCGTACAGTATATGGATATTGCATAAGCGTGTATGGGCAGACGTAAAATCTAATGTGGTCATGACTTAGATTATTCCCCCTTTCAGTATGGCACGTGGCTTGCCAGGCAGGAAGGATAGAGCTAAATATAAATTCATCCAATCCATTTTTTTCTGTGTGTGTGTGTGTGTGTGTGTGTGTGTGTGTGTGTGTGTGTGTGTGTAATCTTATATTTGTTTTATATACATATGTGCACTTAAGCTTACATAAATATGGAAACTGATGGACTTGTAGTTAACATGTAACCTGTCATCTTATGTTTGTTTGTACAGAAGCCTACACGTGACGCTGCAGGTGTATTAATGGTGTGTTGTGACGCTTGTACCACACAGGTCGTGAGCACGTGTGCCGATTCATCGGGTGTGGCCGTAACGAACGGTTCAACTATGTGGTGATGCAGCTTCAGGCCAAGAACCTGGCCGAGCTGCGCCGTGCCCAGCCCCGAGGTGCCTTCAGCCTCTCCACCGCCCTGCGTCTCGGCCACCAGATCCTACGAGCCATCGAGGCCATTCACGAGGTCGGCTTCCTACATCGTGACATCAAGCCGGTGAGTTACTGAGGGAATCTCTCACTCTGGCTGTGTTATCTTACTCTCTTCACTCTTTGATAAACTGTAGGTATTACTGTATATAGTCGCCTCACCTTCAACATCGACTGCCCTGAAGACGTGTCATGGCTGGAGGTTGATTTCCGCTGACTTCGGTGGAATCCCTCGATTTGTCTTTCCCGACCTGACGTGGCCCTGTGAGTGGCTCTCGCCTCACCCTCACCACTCACTTAAGGTTTAGTATTTTGTGTCACCTTTAAGTGGTTGTAAGATGTTATGGTGTTTTATTATTATTATTATTATTATTATTATTATTATTATTATTATTATTATTATTATTATTATTATTCAGTGAGATAGTCTTTGGAAGATAGTAGAAGAAGCAGAACACTTTCGTAACAAAATTATCAATATGTTGAACATGAAAGAACAAATATGTTCCTGGTACAGTATCCTCAGCCATCGTTAATACTTCTGTTATCCCAAAACAGACACACACAGCACTACATCAGACATTGCCTATATAAGTTATTAAACACACACACACACACACACACACACACACACACACACACACACACACACATCACGTGACAGGGTGGTGGGGGGTCATCAAGCACGTTAAGAATACAAGCAAACACAACACGTAGACAGTCACGTATCTAAACAGCATATGACACGAGAAGCAGGATGTGAGGCGAGCAGGGCAGTACGTGTGTGAGAGAGGGGAGGGGGGAGAGGAAGGGGGGAGGTGGGGCACAGGAGAGGTGGGAGGAGGGAAGGGTGGGGAGGAGACAAGGGGTTGGGGAGAGATGGGTGGAGTGGGGAGAAGAAGCTAGGGGTAATAGGTCGTGGTGGGTGAACTTGACGGGGGGGTGGGGGATGGGGGTGGAACATGAGCTGCGTGCCAGTGAGTGAAATAAATCCCTGCTTCTCTACTGCCAAATGACCTCCCCCCCCCCCACCAGTCCTTGGCCAGGTATTATTGCCTCTGTATTTCTCGTTAATCTTCACACCTGGTCACTCCATGGTATTGCACACCTGGTCAATCCCTTCAGTACTCCTTAACTTGTCACTCCATGGTACTCCTTACTTGGTTACTCCCCGGTACTGCAAACCTGGTCACTGCTTGGTACTCCTCACCTGGTCACTCCATGGTATTGCACACCTGGTCACTCCCCTCAGTACTCCTTAACTTGTCACTCCATGGTACTCCTTACTTGGTCACTCCCCGGTACTGCACACCTGGTCATTCTTCAGTACTACACACCTGGTCATTCTTTAGTACTACACACCTGGTCATTCCTCAGTACTACACACCTGGTCATTCCTCAGTACTACACACCTGGTCACCCTGGTACTACACACCTGGTCACTGTACACACACCTGGTCATTCCTCAGTACAACACACCTGGTCATTCTCATACTCACACACCTGGTCACTCTCAGTACTACACACACCTGGTCATTCAAGTACTACACACCTGGTCATTCTCACTACTACACATGGTCACCTCAGACTACACACCTGGTCACCTCAGTACTACACACCTGGTCATTCTTCAGTACTACACACCTGGTCACTCCTCACATTACACACCTGGTCACTCCTCAGTACTACACACCCAACACCAATACTACACACCTGGTCACCTCAGTACTATACACCTGGTCACCTCGCACCGCACACCTGGCTCAGTACTGTACACCTGGTCACCTCAGTACTACACACCTGGTCACCAGTACTCACACACTCTGTCACCCTCAGTATTATACACCTGGTCACCTCAGCACACACCTGGTCACCTCAGTACTACACACCTGGTCACTCCTCAGTACTACACACCTGGTCACTCCTCAGTACTACACACCTGGTCACTCCTCAGTACTACACACCTGGTCACTCCTCAGTACTACACACCTGGTCACTCCTCAGTACTACACACCTGGTCACTCCTCAGTACTACACACCTGGTCACTCCTCAGTACTACACACCTGGTCACTCCTTAGTACTACACACCTGGTCACTTCATTATACCTAGGTAACTCAAGGACAGTCAAGTTTACACGCAGGTAAAGCTATATACATTATCGTGTGTGTGTGTGTGTGTGTGTGTGTGTGTGTGTGTGTGTGTGTGTGTGTTTAGGTCATGTTTACTGATAATTGCTTGGCGTAGTAACAGTAGGGAGAAGAGGGAGGGATGCAGAGGATAGGGAGGGAGGGGATGGTGAGGATAGGAGGAGGGATGTGAGGGTTAGGAGGGAGGGAGTGGGTGGAGGATAGGGAGGGAGGAGTGGTGAGGGGATAGAGGGAGGGAGTGGTGAGGATAGGAGGGGAGGGAGAGGAGGATAGGAGGGAGGGAGAGGTGAGGATGGGAGGGAGGTTGGCGAAGGCAGCAGAAGAAGAGGGAGGAGGGAGGTGAGAGGACTCTGCGTCTCAGGAACGTTGTGTAACACGTCTATGCCCTCCTCCTCCTTCCTCCCCCTCCCCCTCCCCTCTCCCCGATAAAGTGGACAGTGAACGAGAGTAATTTCTTGCTAATAATAACAAAAATGATAATAATAATAATAATAATAGTAATAATAATAATAATAATAATGATGATGATAAACCATTTTTTTTTCATAATTTAGACCAGCAGAAGGTTATGACTTATGAGCGAGTTGGCTAATAAATTTGACCACGTCTAATAATGTCATTATAATTTATCACTACCAGCCAGACTTTAACTTACTAGAACAAAAATTATTAGAAATTAGAGAGTGAAAATAATGGAAGGTTATTATTATTATTATTATTATTATTATTATTATTATTATTATTATTATTATTATTATTATTATTATTATTATTATTATTATGATTATTATTATTTTTATTATTATTAATCCTCTATAACACAATTTTAGTGATTTGTAAACATAAAGAGAAAACGAATAATGGAAACTTCAAATAGATAAAAACTAAACATATTACCAGACAAAGAAGTAAGTATCGTATGTCGACCAGAGTTAGGTGTTATGAGATGGACTCTTTCATAACACTGACATAGAAGGAATCACCACAATATAGTGACAGGAGATGAGACTCAACGGGACACTGAAATACACAGGGGGAAATACACAGTGGGGGGAATGGGGGATTTACTGAGGAGTAAGGGAGAAAAATAGATGAGAGAAGTCATGGTGTCAAATGAAGGGGAAAGGGGACAGATGGTCGTATCGGAGAGGAGGGGGGGATGGGGGGAGGGGGGAGGTAGGTACAACTGGGAAGATGATGCGGATTGGTAGGGGTGAGGAGGAGGAGATCTGGCTGTGAGGGAATTGCGCAGAAAGGAAGGAGAGGAGGCGTGGTTGAGAGGGAGGAATGGTGCAGTAGAGAAGGAGAGGGGTGGGAGGAAGAGAGGGAATGATGCAGTGGAGAGGGAGAAAGTTGGTTGGGAGGGAGGGAAGGGTCCAATAAAGAGGGAGAGGAGTCTAGATGGGAGTTAGTGAAGAGGATGTTGTTATTTACGTGACTCAAGTTAACTAAACGAAGACTGCGTAAGGTCGTGTTATGGGAATTGCGAACATAAGATAAACAAATAAAGATGGAAAACGCATTAAGGAAAGAGAAACTCCTGATTGCAGTCATTGTCTTATAAAGGAGAGGAAAGGGGAACGGAAACATTAAAGTGAAGTAAAGACGTAGAGTACATGTTAAGTAAGGTGAGGGTTGAGAAAGACAGTTCTCTCTCACCTCTGCTCGAGTACATGTTAAGTAAGGTGAGGGTTGAGAAAGACAGTTCTCTCTCACCTCTGCTCTTCTTCCCCTCTCCTCCCCTCCTTTTCGGAGAAGACACTCACTACTTGCCAAATGTCTCCGCTAGCGGTGACGCTGTTTACAAGGATATCTTTTTAAAGCTATGTTGAGGGTCCTAGCAGACCGTGTTAGCTCAAGGGCTCGACCCTGGCCTGCTGACGCTCCCTTCTCCTGGCTGATACAATATTTGTTAGGAGCCTCTCACACTCTGTGCCCCACATACCTCTATTTCATAAAGGTTGATATTGGTTATTTCCACCTTATCCATCGTACTACTCTAAGATCTTGGCATCCTTTACTTTAAAGCTCTCGATATTAAACCCAGAGCCTGTTTTATAAAGTACTTCAGAAACGATAATTTATTTCTGACATTATAGCCTTATCTGTTGAAGTATACTCTTGTGTTATATTCATTAGTCCAAAGAGGGGAGGAGGGGAGGGGATGTCACCAGAAGGAAAACGTGATGCACGTCACCTGAGGAAGGGCGTGAGACATGTCACTGGTGTAAGGTCGCAGGTCTCTGTATTCGTGTCTAGACCTGGGAGCCACCACCACCGAGTCCTGAGACAGGCGTAATGGACGAGGTTTGGCACCGTGGCCATGATTATTCCCCCACCACACCCAGCCCCGCTCCACCCTTCTTCTTGTCGCTCGTCTTGCCTCTTCCTGTCTTACCTCACTCAGTTCCTCCCATTTCTCCCCATTCCGTCAGCCTCGCATCATTGCATTCGACCCACTTGCTCGTATTCCTGCAACTCCGTCATTGTTTCCAGAGACCAACACTTAGTGGTCAACTGTTCTGGCCCTGTCGATGCCTATGCACACCTTAGAGTGGACGAGTTATGCCTGGTGAGTTCTGTTTATTATGCTTCATTTATTTCCAACCAAGTGAAACATACTCAGAAAATTTGGTAATATTTTACTTTCACACAACCATGGAATCTTAGGTATTTTATCTTTACAATCAATAGTTTTAGACAACTCTAAGACACTTTTCTTCTATGACGTTTAGTTCGCAAACTACTTTTATATGCCGGGGGTCCAGGGGGGTGGGGGTCCCGGTTAAGTGGTTAGGTTGAGTAATTTTTAAGTTGTTTGCGAACGAAACGTCATAGAAGAAAAGTATTTTAGAGTTACCTAAAACTATTGATTGTAAAGATAAAATACCTACAGTAAGAGTCCATGGTTGTGTAAAAGTAAAACTGTACCGAAAAATAGTAGCTTTAGTAAACAGGGTTTTCTGGTTGTTAGATAATATTGTGAAATGAAAGAAGGATGAAGTATTAACATGACTCTGTGTGTGTGTGTGTCTGTCATGGAAACTCTCCCCCTTACTATCACCACTAACACGACCCAACCTGAAAAAAATCCAAGAATCCTCGTTAAGTAAACATCAGATCATCTTTGTAATGTAAGACCTATACATGCGACCTAACTCTCACGGTGACTTGTACCCTAACACACACGTAGTCAAGAGGAACACAGCACCTCAGTTACATCTATTGATTTATGGAAGTAGGTAATTGTGTACCCGCTCTAAAGGGAAGGTAACGTAACGTAATGCTCCACCAACATACTTTATCATCATTGTAATAATGACAAATGCGGTACCTGACCTCATACGTTAGTGATCACTTTACTCTAGGCGATTCTCTCGTCTACTGAAAAGGTTTCCTTCTTTCTCTCTCGCACACACACACACACACACACACACACACACACTCACACACTCACACACACACTCACACACACACACACACACAGTCGATTTACCGAAATACATACCATTCTCCCACATGAGGGGTGCTGGGTGTCACACGATAAGAGTTGTAGTGTGTGGTGTGTCCAAAGACTATGGGTGTCTCCATGTCAAGGCCAGTGTGGCGGAGCGCGTCTTGCCATGCGGCCACGAGTAGGTCAAGGACTCGTGAGGGGAACGGCAAAGTGGTGGTGTAGGGAGGGGAGTGTGGTGGGTGGAAGGGGTGGCCGGGTGTGGGGGCGTTGACCCGGCGACACTGCAGGAGGGATGCGGATCTTCACCACACCCACATTTTAACACCTTTATTGATTATAACTTTTATTGATACAGTATACGTTGTAGGAGAGATCATTACTTAAATAAGTTGCTTTGTTTCCATGTAAGTTTGTTGGTCACACCTCACACACTTGTAAACAATTATGTATATCTTCAGAGACAGTTTGAGAATATGATTGCTTCTTTATTTTTATATGAAACAAATTCTCTCTCTCTCTCTCTCTCTCTTTATACAGTATATATATATATATATATATATATATATATATATATATATATATATATATATATATATATATATATATATATATATATATATACTGTAACTGTGTGAGGTATTTACTGTACACACGCATACAAATGGGTCCGACTAATTACCCAAATGTAGCCAAATGTAGCCGGAATGAAGTCAAATAATGGTCCTACATGAATAAATCGGACTGCTAATCACTTCTCGACTAGTATTTGGTGTCAGAAAGTCACAAAAAATGGTAAACTTAATTTAATCTGAGTTAATAGATCAAGTGCATGTACCTAACCTAACCTAACCTAACCTAACCTCACCTAACCTAACCTAACCTAACCTAATCTAACCTAACACAACACAACTCAGATTAAATTAAGTTTACCAATTTTTTTGACTTTATGACACCAAATAATAATCAGAAGTGATTAACAGTCCGATTTCAGCCAATGACTTCATTAACTACTCAGTAGCTACATTGAAATTAGTCGGACCGATACAAATTGCTGTTTCTTCATGTTTGTTTTACATTTAACTCTTCTCTTGCTGTAGCTTCATTAGTTATGTATTTTTTTTATTGTAACTTTTAATATCTTTACGGCTGCTGCTACTGGTTCCAGTGTTTGAGTACAGTGCTGCACAGTATATGATTGATTGTGCTACATTAAATTTGCTCAGTTATGTAGAATTGTCTCCCCACATTTGCATACTTAAATTATTCATGGAAATATTTTATCGACGGGGAAATGAGATGGGTCATCATAACACGCCCTGGTCTTCTTGCACTCCATTACACATATGCATGAGAATGCAAATCCCGCGGAGAAGCAAGGAAATAACTGGTTTTAATTTCAGTGATGTACAATAGTCTATCAGTTCAGTACTGAACTCACAAAACCTAACATAGTAACCTCTTGCCTGGTTCCTTATCATTCTAGGCTATGGTTTCTTAAGATACTGAAGATAGTGTAGTTTTGATGATGTACAGGTACTCATAAGTGAGTTTTAAACCAGTTTTTACATTAGCATCTCAGTTGGCTTCAGTACTAGTTAAAGGAATGGATGCTAAGATTTAATATGGCAAAATGAAAAGAGGATGCACTTCGGTCATGGTAACACTGTAGTAGAGAAGTGTACACTATTACTTGTCCTAATTTAGGACACGTGTCTTCCTCACATTAGGATTCTTAATGTGAGGAAGACACTTGAAACCAAATGTAAAAAGGATTTAGGTGTTTATTTTGACAATGGATTGAAGTTGTCATATTGTTGTGAAAAGGTGTATTTTGCTAATAAATTGCATATCTAGATGGTCCGTCTCATAGGGCTTTTCTGGAGTATACTATAGTGCTCTCTAACTTGGAGTACTGTAATTCATTCTGTTTGGGCTCTAAGATACAGTATACTTCAAAGGCTGCCGATTGATTGAGGTCATTCGAAGGTGGACCACTAAACTGGTGCCAGCACTAATACACCGCACTTAATAAGATATTAGAATGTCTTGAATTGCCTAGTTTATGATATAGAAAGGCAAGGTGACTAAAGAGAAGTTTAGAAGCACTTAAAAGGGCATAACCCAGTCAAGTGGAGCTAGCAGATGCCCGCCCCATTAGAGGTCACAACCTCTAGTTAAAGAAGTTATCGGTACAGAAAACTGGCTGAGTAAAATTTCTGTGAAGTAAGGATTGTGAACTCGTGGAATGACCTGCCAAAGAAGGTTGTGACAGCACTAAGTGTGAGCTCGTTTAAGACCAGAATTAACCAACACATACAGTACTAGCGCTGGTACATTCAAGATCCCATGTATGCTCAGTATAGTACTTGCCAATACTGTAGCTTAAAACAGAGAACTGACTGACTGCCCGACCAGCTGGTAAGCTGAAAAGTGGCAAAGAGGATAAGTAAGTACAACTAGTAAATGTCAAGATGGCAGGTAAAGCAGTGACAGCGCTTTAAATCTAGGGATGCCCAGTGTTCAGGGTCTAGCGATAGAGTTGTAACCATTTGAATGATTTTATTACTGCATTTGCATAATTTTATTTTTATATGTATACAGTAGTTATGAACACTAGTTGCATGGACACAGTTGCATACATATACTATATATGTATGTGCATAACATTAGGATATTGATGATATTTCTTTTGTGCATTTCAGTCCAACTTCAGTATGGGTCGCCTGCCTCACACCTGTCGTAAGACCTACATGCTGGACTTTGGATTAGCTCGCCAGTACACCAATGCCAATGGTGAAGTGCGAACTCCCAGAGCAGCAGCGGGCTTTAGAGGTAGGTGATACAACTTTAGAGTGTGGGAATGAGTGGATACAGTGCTCACCTTGTGGCCTAAGAATCACTGCTTCATGCCCAAGGCACCTTAGTTGACCCAGCTGTGATTGGGCACCCAACTTAACAGTTGGCAAGTACAGTTAAAAGATATCGAGTGTAGTGCTCATTGTGTACTGAATGTTTAGCATACAGATGATAAGAATATGAATGTTTATGAACTGAGGAGGATCTACCTGTAAATACAACATATTGAGAGTACAGTACAGTACTACAGAGTATACACTAGTGTTTGAAATAGTAAATTACAACAGTATTTCTTATTCGTTAACAGGAACAGTACGATATGCATCCTTGAATGCTCACAAGAATAAGGAGATGGGACGCCATGATGACTTGTGGTCATTATTTTACATGGTTGTTGAGTTTGTCAATGGTCAACTACCTTGGAGAAAAATCAAGGATAAGGAACAGGTATACTCACCTTCACATGTCATACTTTGGTCTAAGTTTAGTGTGGCACAGTAGCTATGATTCATAAAAGTTATATTCTTTGGTTTAATCTGATCCCAATACAGGTATTGTACTGTATTTATTAAAGAAGTTATTTAAGTTTGTAATAACAAAATTCATAATACAGTGCAATTACTTTGCAGGTTGGCCTGATGAAAGAAAAATATGACCATCGGTTGCTCATTAAACACCTGCCTTCTGACTTCAAGCAGTTTCTAGAACACATCCAAAACTTAGATTATCATGACAAGCCTGACTATGCTGTAAGTGGAAACAAGTATTTTACATAATTTTTATTCATTGATAAAATGATGGAAGAATTTGTACCTTTATTTATTTAATGATAAAAAGAATCCAATAAGTTGCCTGAATAATTCTAAGCCTCATTCTTATTCTTTTAGATGTTATCAGGATTATTTGAACGATGTATGAAACGACGGGGGATAAAGGAATCTGATCCATTTGATTGGGAGAAAACCCCCACTGATAATTCCTTGGGCACCACTACTACTACTACCCACGCTGTCATCACCAAGCCACAACATGCAGATAGGTATGGCTGTCTTTATGGTATTGCTCCCTCAGGTATGATAATGAATGTGTTGGCTGAATATATGAGGACATTGTACACCAGTTTTGACATCTTCAGTCCTTATTGTGTCTTATATGTATGGTCTCAGTAATGGATGTTGACAATACTCCTGATCTCTTTCACTTTCAGCTACACTATTGACAGAATTAATTAATACAGTACAGTACTGTAAATATATGCCTGCATTATATAATAAATTATTACATGATTTAATTTCATGACATTATTATGATTGCTTCTTTTGTGCACCAGTCGATTGGTTTATGGCGGAGGTGGCATGACGGATAACATGCTCGATGACAACGTGTTGGGTTCTGTAGACAATCAGGAAAATGTTGAGGCCCCACATGATCGTGAACATGACCCACGCAGACGCCGGCGACGAGACACCGTCCTTCACCAGCCACAGCCTAACATCAACCAGGTGCGTCTTCATCATTCTCAGTACTCTGTTCTCATGATGGTGTCATTCTTATTTAGCTTATGGCTGTCTTCATCATGGTACCCAATGTTTTACTGAAGCATTTAAACCATTGTGGTGTACTGCAATATATCTAATTAAGGATAAACATCAGTTTTTAATAACAGTGAGACCGCGGAGGTATGTGATTGATATTGAATCATGATCATCAAATCGTGGTATCAGAGAGGCACTCTTCAGTCAGTAAGTGAATGTTGGGATGTGAAACTGAGAGGGGCTGGTGGGGTAGCTGGACCACAGTAGCATAGAACCCACTGCTTACATCTCTCTGCTGTACAAACTTCCCACTCCTCAATTCATGTAACTCGTGTTAGTCTGGTGAGCCCATAGACCACAATGTGGTGTTGTGGGATCCTGCGTCTTAGGTTCATGTCTGTCTCAGTATCATTGTCTGGTAATTCTGTATCTCTTAAGTAGTAAAAAGTAGAACGATTGCTAGCATCGATTACTTCAATGAGCACGTCTCTGCCCCCACTAGTTAGTACAATTGGCAAATACACCCTGCACTAGTAATATATATCACTGGTAGACAAGCTGCACCATTCAGATTAAGCAAAGCCAGTCCCAGCATTCAGTTGGTTATTGTGAATTTGGCGTCTTCAGCAACAGGTGGAGACTAAGGAGCGGGTGCTGAACGATAACAACGTCAATGCCAACATCATCGCCAACACTGAGAAGGACACCAACGAGGTGGAGATGTCACCCAAGAAGAGAAAGGTACAGCCTGCTCTCCCTCAATCTGGTCAGGGTGTCTTTGCTGTGGTTAGCTTTATCTCTGCTACTGTAGTCAGTCCTACAGCAATCTAGCCTGTACTGTCTTGTCCACTGTCTCTTATTCTGTCTCTCGTCTTTTGCGGCTCTAATCAGTGTTATTTGTAATGATGCTAACATACTAATGTAGAAGCTTATTGTAAGTAAAGTAGTCAGTTGTGTCATACAATAGTGAGTGAATCTCAGGATTGATATAATCAGATGCCTCCCCACCAACCCCCTCTGTATTAAGTATGTAACCTGTATCTTTACCCTCAGCCCTGAATAGCCTCCTCCATGTTAAGCTAAAGAAATGTTGAGTGAATTTCTTAACTTTAAAGCCACATTTGCTGGAGCCTTACAAAACATGGCTGTGAGGTACTTCTTATAATTCAAGATTTTGTTTGCTATACTACTGTACTGTACAACTAATAGTGATATTATTATAAGGGAAAATTGCCTGTCATGCTATATGTATACTGATCATGATGAAAGATGAGCCTTTATTAGTAACAGGAACTCATATTTTACTCGATAATTCAGGTATACTTTGACTTCAATTGATCTTTTATGTTTGGGGATTTGAATTACCGAGTTGTATTATGGGTCACTGTCCAGGTGTCGTAAGATGAAAGCCATCCCAGAATAAGTTATATGAAAATTAATAATTACAGTATTTTTCATTTTTTAAAGAACAACTGTACTGTATATGTTTTTCAAACATTGCAACTAGAAATTTTGGAGGACTATACCATAGATATATCAGATTAGTTAGGTAATAGCAGAAGAGTGTGTAAATAGTATGGAGAATCAGATTATTTCCAGCTTTGAGTATAAGGAACTCTAACCTAGGTTCTCTGCAAACATTTTGCTGGTTTGGCAATTATTTATCACTCAGATACATCCCTCAGAATAGCATTAGTATTACCTTACCCTGTAGTATGAGAAGAGTAATACTTTCTCCAAAGTCTACCATTTGAGTATGTAATCAGAATCAAATATTAGAAACTTGGTAAAGAGAGCATTTCTACTTGACTGATATGTTTCTCAGAATCAGGAAGGATAAAAGTCAGCAATGTTTGTGCTGCATCTGCATAAATTATCTCATTCCCAATACGGTAATATTTTTTTCTCATTACAGTAATAACCTGCAGTTAATCTTAGGGTTGAGTCTCTTTAGCCATTAAGAGGCTCTGAGTCAGCACAATGTACTACTGTACATGATTTGCCTTGTTCCTTCCCTTGCACATGATGCCAGTCAATACCTTGTGCAGTATTTAGGGTGACCAGATGCTCCAGTTTGGTTAGGCTTGCCTGATATTTAGTCATCTGGCTGCATTCATCTGACTTAAGGGCAGAACATTTTGTCTTGACTTTTCAGATCAATCATAAAATGGCTGTGTGACTGCTCCCCAGTACAAGTAGTACTGTATCAGAATTATTTGTGTTTGCAACAAAGACACTCCTAGTAGTGGTTGACCAATGTACCTAGATTCTGCTTACCCTATAGAGTATTTTTTAATGGTAGATCTGTTCTTTTAGAACTACAGTATTCCTTTAGCATTCATAGTAAAACCTCTTATACCACACTGCAAAGGCAGAATTGCAGGCATATTTGATATTAAAGCTTCATATTAATGTTTGATATGTGTACAGACAAATAAATTAAATTATAAATACCTGTTCAAAAAAAAATCAGATATTGCTATACTGTACAGGATATAAGAAATATTGCAAAACTGTTCAATGTATAGGTACTAGTCATACTGTATTTGTGTACCTACAATGGCATAGGGCATTATGTTAAACTTCCATGCCTCCATTTTCTGGAGGGAGAAGAGAGGGACAGAGGATTGAAGTGTCCTGGTCATTTTCCTTGGAACCTGGTCACCCGGCTTATACCACACCTTGCACTACATGCAGCTGACAGAACCATACCTATTTCCTTTAGTACATGCTGCATACTGTACCACACCCAATACCTTGTACTGTACCACTTCCAATACCATGTTTTACTGCACCTCATCCTGCACACTGTACCACATCTAGTGCAATGTATTATAACCATACCTGGCATTGAATACAATACCACAGAATATTTCACACCCTCCTAAACTGTGCATATTCAATACACCATACCACATCATGTAAACTGTACCATACACAGCACGCTATTCTATATTTGGTGCATTGTATCCAACAAATCATCCTGTATTATAGCTTGGTGAACTTTATATAAATATATAATATTTTTTCAACATCCCTTTATGAAATTAAGTACATTATGCCACATGCAGCCCTCATGTCATGCTTCCACATCCATCTTGTGCCGCCAAAGTGCTATCTACAACACATTATACTATCCCCAGCATACTAATACTCTACCATACCTAAAATTATGTGACCACTGTACTACACTACATACACTATAACATTAACATTTATTTGCAACCCAACACCCTGCAGTATTTACATCCTTTACTGCATTGTGTATCACTTTCAGCATACCTTACTGTTCATAGTATGCTTTAGCACACCCTACACACTGTACCACACCCTACACACTGTACCACACCCTACACACTGCATCACACCCTACACACTGTACCACATCCTACACACTGTACCACACCCAACACACTGTAAAGGTGGCATCACACTAGTACTTTTTCCATCAACTTTCCCTGTTTCTGTCGTTTTTTCCACGAATTGTAAATTTTTCGAGTCCATCTCACTCAGACGAAACATATCATTTCCGCCTGACTGGCTTGCGCCAATTTCTGTGGTCAAGAAAAAAAATTATACTCTACATTGAGGATATTTATATAAAATAAATATCGAACCATATACAATAACTATATTTAATTTTAAAGGTATTCATTATCGCCTTTTTAATAAGTTGCTTCAGTGTAAATTTTCGTATTGATGTTGATATTAATAAATACATCTTATATGTTTACTTACATTGAACCATGTGTTCAACTTCTTCACAGCCTCTCTATCTATTCCTATGTGGACATGCATCTCTGAAGAATACTTGATAGAGAATATTACTTTTTACTTTTACTTTTATCCTCTTTGGCACTGATCGGCTCATTAGCTGCTCGGGTGGCTGGTCACATCTCTGATACACACTGGTGGCAGATATTGGGCATACACTGGCTCTTGAATATATTTGAACCTGCTACAGTGTTGGTCAAGTCTGGCTTTGAATGAGCTCACACTCAGTGCCATCACAACACTCTCTGGCAGCTTGTTCCAACAGCTCACAATTCTCACTTGGAAAAAGGTTGCCCTCAGAATTTTCTGGATTTGTGGCTTCTTCAAACCTTGAGCTGTGACCCCTTGTGGGGCGGACATCCAGGTATGTTCATTCGACCGAGTAGTGCCCTGTGAGATATTTATACACTTCGATTAGGTCGCCCCTTGTCCGTCTGTAGTATAAGCTAGGTAGTTGCAGGCGCTCCAATCTCTCTGGGTAACTGAGGTTCCATAGAGCAGGCACCAGTCTGGTGGCCCTCCTTTGGACATTTTCAATCAATTGACAGTCCCCAGCATACCTCGGGGACCAGACGGGGTGACAATACTTCAGGCAGGGAAGCACCTCACTCTTGAAGATCATGACAAGCGACGGACCATCCAGATATCTGAACGACCTTCTTATAAGACCTTCTAGTTTTGTTGCCTGATTCACCTTTTTCTCGCAATGGCCTGAGAACTTAAGCTCATTGTTGACATATACACCCAGGTCCTTTTCACATTTGGTCTCAATTAAAGCCGTTAAATCGTCCTGTTGGGACATATGATACGCCTCCTTACTGTTGGTGCATCACAGGTGCATCCCTTTGCACTTCGTGACATTGAATCTTAGCAGCCATTTCCTCGACCATTCTTGAAGCTCAAAGAGATCTTTCTATACCTCTTCACAGTCTGTTTGGTTCTTAATTTCCTTAAATTTAGATCTCATCATTGCCTGTGGGACCAAAGGAATGATAAATACAGTAAAAAAAATGCAGAGGATAACGGCATACAATGCCATCTTCTTTGTGAGTGGGCGCATTCAGAATTTTTTTTTTTATAAAAGTGATGCATTAAAATGATGGAAAAGGTGCTAGAGTGACACCGCCTTAACACACCCTACACACTACCACACCCAATACACTGTACCACACCCAACATACTGTACCACACCTAACACACTGTACCACACCCAACACACTGTACCACACCCAACACACTGTACCACACCCAACACACTGTACCACACCCAACACACCATACCACACTCAGCACTCTTTATCCTAACTCAGCACATTGTACCAATACAGAAGACAGTACAGAACTGCCTACTGTACTACACTTGGCTTTCCTTACCAAATTTGAGCCACTGGACTAAACTCAGCATTCTGTACCACTCATCATACTGTACCACTCATCATTCTGTACCACTCATCATACTGTACCACTCATCATACTGTACCACTCATCATACTGTACCACTCATCATACTGTACCACTCATCATTCTGTACCACTCATCATACTGTACCACTCACCATACTGTACCACTCACCATACTGTACCAAATTCAGCATACAGTATATTATTAATCATCTTTAGTTACATCATTTTGTATCACACTCAGTACATTATATCAGACTCAGCACACAATTACCGAATCCAACAAATATACTGTACCGTACTGTATACATTTTTGTTTGTCCTGCCGTTCCCTGTACACCTTATGTTATACTTGATACAGCACTGCTCATGGTTATTTTTTACTCCCTTTGTTCTGATTTTCAAAGATTTGAATATTAATTTTCTCTCCTAACTGGGGATTAGAAAACACATCATGTTATGGTAGTCTCAGTGCAATTTTGACACAATTTGAGCTTCCATTTTTGTCCCATATCCTAAGTGAGACAATTAGATATGCTTTCGCATCTCCAGTTAGGGAGAAATTCAATGTGCAAGCCTTTGTGGGGTCAGAATTTGAACTCTTTCTACTTCAATTTCTCTTAAAGTTTTTTATTTACTTTGTGACTATGTTAATCATGGTGGCTTCATTTTCCCTTGATCACAGGTAGAGGAGTTCACTTGTGAAAAGGAAGTAGAAGGTGGAGGCGAGAAAGAGAAGGAGGGACGGCTAGAGTGTTCCACTGATTGGGATGGTGATGCTGTCATGGCCTCCAGACAGGGACACACCACACCAAGGTACAGTATTGTGTTTCAACAAGTTGACTATTGTGGCAAGAACATACATTTAGGCAACATACATACTGTATTTGAACTTATATATATATTTTATTGAAAACATATTTCAAAATTTAACTTATATTCTTTTATTGAAAATAAATTTCAAAATTTGGATGTACAGTACTATTTAACATTTTTTTTTATGCTATAAAATTAAAATCTTATAGAGGAGCTGGTGGGGATGACAACAAGAACAGAAAGCCCCTAGCAGTGTTAAGGTTGTCATCTGTGGATACTGCAGCAGATGACGTAGACATGAATGTTGAACCAGCCAGTAAGAGGGATGATCAGGTAAAGATTTTTGTTTTTGAACATTGACAGTACATTTAAACAATTCCTTGGTCATGATACTACTCCCCTGCCCAATTTAATATAGAATATTTACTTTGACTATGTACAATACTCTAAAATCGTGCAGCACTTCAGACATTTACCATATGTGATTTTGGACAGTTATTATTGTACTGTACGATATCAAATTAGGTAAGCATATGCTTCTTGGCTTTTATATAGGCCGATTACTTCCAATTCCAAATTTGGAAGTGCTTAGATATATATATATATATATATATATATATATATATATATATATATATATATATATATATATATATATATATATATATATATATATATATATATATATATATATATATATATATATATATACAGTATAGTATATATAAATATATAATTATATATATTTATATTATTTGATTTTTGCAAGATCACATATAATGTCATTGTTCATACATTCATAAATTTTTTTCCTGTGAGCCTAACTGGACACACATAGTATTCTAGTTATAAAATACAGTACCTTCATTCCCTTCCTCCTCATCTTCAGTCATTTTAGAAATTGCCGTATTGAAAGTACAGTATTCCCTGTGTTGACCAAGGCTTGAAGCCACATGCTCTGTCGAGATACAAATATTATACTATGCAGTCTTGTGTTGATAATTACTGTGTGAAATTAGCCCGTATATGGTTCAAGCCTCGGCCTGGACACAAGTGAGAAGGGTGTTATCCGGTGTTACCCTTACTATCAAACACCACAGGTTTCCTGGTCCCCGGTTTCCTCCTATATGCTAACACTGGATATAGCACTCAAACGGCTAGTAAGCTGATAAGTGGCGAAAAGGATATAAAAACGTTAGACACAATGAAGAATGGAAATTATCTAAGAGAAACATTATAGCATATGCTTTTGGTTGCCTATAAATACCTTGAAGGTGTGTTGTTAAGTCACAATATGTATGAGATGTAAAGAATAGCTGATAAATCCTCACAGTTGATCCCTGGCTCTAAACAATGTCAGAGAAGCAACCTTGTCTTTAGTTTATGCTAGGAGCATGAAAATTAAAGACACTTGAACACAATAGTCCAGAGACAATTTGTTAGATACGTATTTTTATTTTTCTGAACAAATTAGCATCATCAACAAACATATATATGGGGGAGTGAACACTATCAGGGATATCATTTATTGAATAGATAAACATCACACCAAGCACATTGCCCTACAGCACATTGTCCGCATTGATACACATTATGATTTCATGCAATTGACTACCATGTATTATTTACGATCATAAAGAAAGTGAGTGTTCCATGTGAGGACTTTTCCCTGTACTTTGTATCCCTTTATCCTTATAAATTTGACAAGGACAGTTCAGTATACATTGTCAATGTTACCACCATGTTCTAGGACCTGGGACCATATATCCTATGCCTCCAGCAGTTGTGCCAAGTTGGAGTGTCCATATATAATTCTGTACTGGCTTTCTTTCACAGGGTGGTTCCATTGTAGGCAGTCCATCATGGTATACAGTATTATGTATAATGCTCTCAAGTACTTCATATCCTATGCAGGTTAAGCTTACCGGCCAGTAATTATTCATCCAGTGGCAATTGACACTGTACAGTATATTTATTTAAACACTAAAGAAATGTTTTATGCTTGTAGAGACCTTTGTATATATTCAAAATATAATTAACTACTGTATATACTGCTCATGGAGGAAGAGGGTAGATACAATTTTCATCATGATGTTAAAAAAAAAAATTAAAATTTCTTGAATGAAATTTTACAGAAGGGATTGCATTGTTCCTGGGTACCACTGAACTCTCCATTCCATGAAATGGATCTTGGGGCCCATGGTTAGGGATAGGGATTGTCATTAGTATGGAAAGCCACAAATCTGTACTATATATACATGTACAGGTATTTAATCAAGACTAAACTGACCTACCTTATTTCAGGTGTTCCAGAAATCATTTGAGTGTCAGTGGGAGATGTCATAAAGGATATTAGTTTTATACAGTATAGTTTTTATAAATATGAAGCACTGTATAGTATTTGATTCTAATATATTACATATATATAGTATTCTGTGCAGGATGCCAGTTATGTGAGTTTCCAAGATGGTGGGCGGTTAGCGAGGATAGAGCCTAGTGCTGGAGGAGTATCACCTGGAGGTTCCACACCACCCACAGAGGGCGAGTTTCACCCCCATGCTCGTGATCACACTCCACATCGTAGAACTCATCATAAAAGGTCAGTATGTCTACTCTGTATTGTTACAAAACTTAGTGCAAGAATTAATGTACACAAATCACAAAACAGTTTAAGGATTTACTTGACAATGTACAGTATATCTCATATAACACTAACCACAAGATTTGTTTTCTAATACAGTGACAAGGCAACCAGACAATTGAAATATTTTTTGTCCCTCTTATGCTGCATCATATATGACTTTTCCCATATAATTAGCAGGTTGACTCTTATAGAATGATCCCCAAACACTCCTTTCACTGTACAGTATATACAGAACTCACATAGTCAATCTTTTTATATCTTACAGCAGTGCTTGAAACACTTGCAGCAGATTTCTCTATTTCATTGACTCTTACTCAATTGAAACAATTGCCAGCTGCTTACACTATAATTTTGGGATATTTAGCATGTCATTAATAATATGCTGGTTATTGATTGTGTGTCTGTTTGGTTTATCTGGCACCAGGAGTCTTGGATTTGCGAGGTGAGATTGTCAATATGCCCTGCCCCCTGCTGGCTTAGCCGAGTCCATCTTCTCTGGCCTATAACTTGTGTCTTTATCCTGGCATTTTCATTATTTTAAGAAGTTAGTTTTAGAACCAGAGCCTTTTACCTATTACAGAGATATGATGATTCTTCTGAAAACTATGAATTGAATGTGTGTTACTTTTTATATTAATGAATATTTTAAAACTGGTAATGTTAGTTAGTCTTGCATAAATGTTGTCGGTTCAGTGTTCGTGAATTGTGACCCACAGCCCATAGAATAAGTTTATGTTAGTACTAGAAGGACTAAAAGTAAATTTTCTACTCTTAAAGTCAAAATGGTAATTTGACTCTGTGCGTTTTCATCAGTACAGGTATTGTACTGTATTGTCAGTTTATCACTTTAGCATTCCGTTGAAAATCATCTTCTGTTTAAATTCTTAATTGGCAACAAAATTGAGTTTCACGGGAAAATGAAAATACTGTTCGTACTGTATTGTTAAAAGACTGGAAGAGACGTTAAAAATTAAGTACTGTACAGTATGAAACAATTAAGAGATACATTATTTAGGTTTGAAGATTAAAGCATAAGTAATAGAAATAGGTTTCTTATCTCTAACTTGACATTCACCGTCCTACTCCCCTCTGATGGTCAAATTTTGTAGCAGATCTCTGTAGAGATTTCATCATCTTTCTCAGTATTCTGTCCTTTGAGCTAAGATATTAGTTTTAAAGTGGAGTTTTTACAGTTTGTTTTTATTCTTGCAATACCTCGCATGTGATTCAAGCACCGCTATTTTCCATATTCACAGTGCTTTAGAGAGATCAGCTCTCCAGTCCTATACTCAGTTTGGCAATAAGAAATCATTAGACTTGAGGGAAAATATTAAATGTAACTTCATGTTATTCCATGACACTTTTACCATGCTTCTTATCATCTGGCTCAGTACTTGCATCCCCATATGTAGAGCTAGGAAACAATGCAGTTTTACATTATCTGTCCTGTTAAGAAAATTTGCAGCCAAAATTTTGTTTGAGTGCTAATGTATTGCACCTGCTGGTTTTTTGTTTATATGCAAAGGATCTGTAATTCAGAGAGCTCTGTTCTGTTTGTATATACTACAGTAATGTACTGTATACTGTATCCTGATGATACTGTATTACATGTACTTTATGGTGCTCTCGCTATGACATGTATTATGCAGAGTACAGTACAGTATATATATGTTTGATACTTTTTAGGGATAATTGTTTGATTAAGCTGTAAAATGTAATTAGTGTCACTAAATAGAGATGAATTTTTATTTTTGTTGTTATAACGTGATCAATATTACGTAGTTCTTATTCAGTAAAATTTGCGCCATTCAGTTTAAGATGTCATATACCATCAAAACATTACTAAAATATTTATACAATAGGTTAAATAAGGTTAGGGTTAAGTTTGGTATGTTACTATTGGTGGAATTAACTTATAATATTTATTAGTACTGTTTAAATGATTCACACTATACAGTCGTGTTGGAAATTTAGTAAGTGTAACATTTAGCAATTTTTGATGCTTTGTAATTATCCCTAAAATAATACATATCATAAGTACTTATAAGCATTAGTATTCCCATCCATGTTTTGAATAAACAACAGGGGTACAGAACGACATTACCTTGGGATAGGAATAGTTTACTACAGTACCTTTCAAACACACTTTAATATGCAAAAGTCTAGCTTAAGAATGAAGTGTTGGTGAAACTTGATAGTATAATTTATCACAGGAAGGAGAGAATGGGTGATTACCGTATTGTGTTGTGTTAAGAGTCCAGACTAACCCTCCTCAGTTAGGAGAATGGCATCTTTTTTGTCTGGAGTGAACGCAGTAATATGTTATTATTTTAGTGTTAAGAAATAGTATTCTTTTTTGTACAAGATACTGCATTATACTTTCAATTTGTTTCTTGGGAGTTCTTCAGTTATGCTTAAAATGTATATTTGTATAAGGAATCCAGTCTAATTGATATCACTGAAGGCTTCTGAAAGAAGGCCAGTTTCTTCTTGTTAGTTTTTCCTGGTTCACTGTGACGAGTAAAACACTTGTACCTTATTAGTCATCATTTTATACTATGGTCAAACAGTTGTATAAATCAGCTGCTTCAAAAGCATAAGGTACAGTTTCAACTCTTGAAGGAACTGATGCAATTCTATACAGTATTACCTTAAAGATATTCAGCATCTCTTTTAGCTTAAATCTGCATTATTCATTTTCACATTAAATAAAACACAATCCTACCCAGTAATTTTAAAGGTAAATTGTTATCAAGGCATTAATTTGTCTTAAAACAAGTTCTGGTAGTTATGGTACAGTAGCACATGAGGATTGCCAGTGAGATACTATCTATAAAGATTTCTGATTAGCGAAGTACAAACCACAGGTACAGGTATTTATAACTTACACATATATGATTGTTTTGTAATCACAGTGAGAATTGCTGATTAACTTTACAGTGTAGTTCTGTATTTCTATTACATTAAGATCTCACTATATGATCTATTGATCTTTGTGAATGACATGCGAGATCCATACTATTAAGATAACTCATAGCAGAGGGTCACGGTATCTTCTACTGCAAAATACACTATCCTGACATTCATTGTTTTTACTGTAAATGGGAACCTCACCCATCTGAATGTGGTTCAAAGATTTGTTTATCATGTCATCACTTATCAGCTTACTAGCCATTTGGGGGGTACCCAGTGGAATCCTGTGATATTTGGTAGAGATACACTGAACAACACTTCCCATGTGTGTCTGGGTCAAGATGTACTGATGTCCCATTTAATCCAGTGGTTAACTGAAGGTCCAGTAAGACCTTAGATCAGTGGTTGAAACTCATAGTAGACTCACAAGTTGAACCATTTTTTAGTTACGGATAAGTTCATATGTATGATCCTCAGGTCCTGTTAGGTCACCAAACTGGCAGTATCTCTTACTGAACTTGGCTTGTCTTCTTTTGGAGTAATGAAGTAGAGATAAGTCTTTGATTGATCTCTCTTGTGTCTTATTATACATTAATGGTTCCCAGGTAAGGGTATTGGAAACAATCTTTTGGCAGTATTGTACTCTGTGGTAAGAGTAAAGGGGTGTTGGTGGTACAGTAGGCTCTCACCAATAACGTTTAATAGGTGCCTGAAAAACACCGTTAGTAGCGAAAACGTTATTTGTGTGACATTAAAATACATGTAAAAAGGGTTTATTGGTGCCGCTGCCACAAGAATTTCACCCATTTTTTCCCTTTGAAGCCCTCCTAACACTGCTATTCAATCATCAAAATAAAGAGTTTGAGTAATATAACACTTAGTTTTTGAGGTTCTTGGTGTGATGATTGTTCCGTATCTGAGGGCCGCTTACACTTGCACTGTCTTTCATTCTACAAGCTAACCATTTCACAAGAAAATGCTCTGTTATCACTAACAACCTGTTTCTATCGCCTTTATCATTCATAGCTCGCCTCGCATTTCCATCACTGCCGAAATATTTTTAGCCAGCACAATACTCTTCTTGGTCTCCTCTAAGTTCCTCTTAATATTTCGCACTGTAGACTCAGGACAGTTCAATTTCCTCACTTTAAAAGTTCTCAGTCATTCAGGTGGCAAATCACTCCCTCCACCACCTCCCCTAGCCCCCACAGGCAAAAATGCGGAAGCCATTATTGATCACCCACCCTGACAACCACTGGTTATAGTGGCGAAAATCTCACACGTGGGCGCAGCGCTGTATTCCACTGAGCGTGTGTGAGAGTGAGGCGGAGTGGACAACTACGTCATCAACATGGTGGCAAAAAAATGCTATCATTGATCCGCTCGGACGCTTCCCGCGAAATTTCCGTTATTCAAGAGAATCCAGACGTTATTATCGAAAATGGGTATCTATTGTAACTTACCGTTATTGTCGAAAACGTTATTGTGGAAGTCGTTATTGGTGAGAGCCTACTGTACAGTGGTAACACACATATCTCTCACCAGTTTGTCAAGGGTTCAAGGCTTGGCCTGGACACATGTGAGAAGGGTGTTATCCAGTGTGACCCTGACATGTTTCACAGTCCCTGGTTTCCACAGGTAATAACACTGGATAGACCAACCCCCCCGAATGGCTAGTAAGCTGATAAGTGGTGAAAATTATATTAAAAAAAAGTGAGAGGGAGTTCTTGTTACATTCCTCAAACTAGGTTCACTGTTGTTTGAAAAGATTCTTAGATTTACAAAACATTGAACATTGTCAGTAATCAAAAAAATCCTTAATGGAACTTAAACAAAGAGTCAATTTATGTTGACTTAGTAATATTATGAGAATATTCATAACCTCCAACAAAGGAACAAGATTATTTTATGAGTAAACCAAGCAATAGGTGTCTCCAGATTTTTCATGTAACTAAACTATAGGGTCACAGTGGCTGAATGGATAGTGCCTGCCCTTTGTCCTTAGAGTTGCTTGTTTGCACCATGAGTACCCTCAATCAACCCAGCTGTGAATGAGTACCTGATTATATTGTTGGGTAGTGAAGGTTGTCAAATGCAGTGTCAGTCTTTCTGTCTTTCAATGAACCAGGGGCTTAGAATTCAGTATGCTGTATCCACATTGTTCCTAACAGCTTGTTGGGCCTATGGAACCAACTTCAGCTTATCAAACATAAGAAGCTGAGAGCAATCTTAACCTTGTATGGTTAATGTAATTGTTTACTGATTTAGGTTAGATTAAGTTATGCTCGGTTTGGAAGAAGTTCTGGAGTTTTTTTTAATACTGTACCTGTACTTAACGAGAGTAGTCTGTCTCTAGCAGCCACCTGACAGTATTTCTCCATAGAAAATAAAAGATTTACTACCATAAGCAGTGTGTGGAGATTAATGGTACGAAATTGTCGTGTGTATCCATGACAAGCAGGGTACCACAGAACAGTGTACTGGGCCCATTATTGCTTGTTTGTTTCATAAATGACATGCCAGAAGTTATGCACCCCTCCCTACAAATGTTTGCAGACAATGCCACGTTATTCAGGGAAATTAAGAACCAAACGGACTGTAAAGAGCTACAGAAAGATCAGCAGTACATCCGGTATTCAAAATGGATCAATACAGTACAGAGAATATTGGCAAGGATTCTAATCAAAGGATATCTCATAAATTTAAAGTGTTCCACTATTTATCTCATTTACATGAGTAAAGGTATTAACATATGAAAGTATTTGATACTGTACAACCTTCTCATATTGAAGGCAGAGGTTGTGTTCTTTGACTTAGGTTCAGATTGGTGAGAAGGCTACTTGTAGTGAAAACATTGTGTAAAGAATGCATCCTTCCATTAGACATATTAAGGCTTCCTGAAAACTGCATACTATGCCATGGACATATTTTAATAGTATGAATCTCACAGGTCTTTTGCTTCTTCTCCTCTGTCATAAAATGGTACTGTACCTCAGTCCATCATTTTTGTCAGCCAAGAAAAACTAAAAAAAAAAAAAGTCTTTACTTTCGCTGGTGTGAATAGATTATAAAATCCCTTAATTACATGTACATAAGATTAGTTGAATAGTAAACAACATATTCAATCAATCATAAAAGTAAAATAGACAGATTTTTTTATGAAATAGTATGCTTTTAATCATACCTTAAATCATTGGTAATATTCATCTCGGTGAAATATTATGACATTGATACAAGTGACTATGGATATAAGCCTCACTTAATCAGGGAGGTGATGGTTTATGTGTGCTACAGTGATGAATGCATTTTGAATCTTTGAATCTTTCATGATTGGCTGTGTCATATGTAAAGAAAAGTAAAGCTTTCAGTATTCTAGAGCATCACATGTACAGTAAAGCCTTTATATTGTTTTTAACATTTTAAAAATATTATGTAATTCACTCATGAAAAATCAAGTAGATAACCTTAAAAATTAATATTCTATGATACCGTATGTGGAATTGATGTGTTTAGTCCTTCTTGGTGGATGTGTAATTGTGTATGTACAGTATGGTGTGAATAACAGATTCTGGAAATATTTGTTTATAGAGCAAATTAGAGAAAGGTCATTGTTTTGTGAGAGAGTTGCAGTGCAATATATAGAAAGTAGATATAGGAGTTATGCAGTTACATGGACTCAAGAAATGTGTTTTTATATGGACTAATGAAATATGTAGTTACTTTACATTGATTCTAAGGAATAATTTTTTATGTAACACTCATAGAGGCTAATACAGTACTGTACAGTAGTCTTAGTATTGTATGGCTTTGACACAGAAAAATAGCTGCCTGCTTATAAACAAAGATTTTAGTGATGTCAAGCTGCTGCTATCACCCTGAACATGATTTTACATTGAATATTATTTTAAATGTGTTATAACATTGGAGAAATACTCAGATGACCTACTCTCTGTTCCTAGGTTCCATCCGGTGCAACGAGCCAAATATCTGGGTCATAGAGACCTCTCCATCACACAGTTTGCTCTGGCTGATGATGATAATATGTCTCAGCCAGCTACTAAGGGTGGTGGATGTGGCCTTACTCTAGCATCACAGTGGAAATCACAGTTTGATGATTCTGAGGAAACAGACAATGAGCTCAAAGCTGACAATCTGCAGAGCCCTGAACACAAACAACGCTTAACTGTAAGTCACTTCTTGAGTAGCTTATTACTCTTCTCACTCTTGAGGACAATCAGTGCCAGTCTGTAAGTAAATTAAACATAGTTTAGTCTTCAGAAATAACCATCTCCAGAGGTTCCAGAACAGAAAGCATCACCATGTAAGTAGCCTTATGTGTAATTTAAAGCTAAAGCCTTTATTAGAGTAGTAGATACTGTAAATGTGTCCATCTAATCATTAAATTGAACTTATTAAAAGCACATTGATTCAGTAATGAATGACAGTGCATTTTTGTGCCGTTATTATAATAATTATATTTTGAACTGCATAATCTTCAGTGAGCACTGGATAAGCAAGTGTAATCATATTAATCAGTTACTCAAAGTCTGAATCCCAATGAAGACTTGGCTCATATACTGTACATGTAAGTATGTTGCTTTCCTAATTAATGTTTGTATTTATTGTTCATACTGCTCTTAATAACATGATAGAGAACACATTCTCAGACTCCAGCATACTTTTCTGAGTTAGGTCAAATAATGAATACCCTAATATGGAGAACAGTAACATACATGAACACCAGGACATTCACACAGTGTTTGAACTGTGAGAAACTTTGAAAGTACATATTTTAGAGACTTGGTATAGAATAGGTGTCAGCCATTTCCTTAATGTGTGTGTGTAGTGAAGAGTTACTGCGCTAAGAAACACTTGTCGTGGCCCTCAGCTGGTGTCTCCTTCATCCCGTGGGCCTGATGACACCACCATGACACCTGTGCAGGAGGTGGGCACCACAGAAAAATCTCGGCGAGTTGGTACCGAGCTCTCCAGAATTAGTGAGGATGACCGTCACCGCTCCTCCGACCACCACACCCACACCCAGGTCTGACCCTTACTAATACCCAGCTTGCATTCCCTTTCTCTCAGACTTTACCTTGCTTAAACCCCCATCCTTATTGTTTACTGATCCAATGCTTTTCTGCACCATTTCTTGTCCGTCATCATGGTTCATCCCATTTTTGTGTGCTTTACCTCTTGTCACCTCGGGTCTGACCCATCTTTGTCTACCATATATCAAATCATGCTTATGGCCACATTTCACCTCATTCATATTACTGAATCTTATAATATGTACAGTAGCTAAAACAACTATCTCTGCATACTTTGTGGGAAACAATATGTGACCATGGGCGATAAATTTGGGTATATGAGGGCTGTCACTAGTCACACATAAAATTTTGGAGCATATCGACCCCCACCTGCACAGATAGTTGTTTTAACTACTGTACATATATCCCTTGTAACCTGGAATTGTTTTTACTACATGTTGTTTTTCTTTTGAGGAAAAAGACAGACTTATACTCTACCTGTCTGAATCCATTTACTGCACATGACTTTTCCCAATGTGAACTTTTATCTTGTGTCCCAGACATTGTTAACATATCTCTATTGCTTCTGTCTAGCTGCTACTGTAGCATGTATGATATACAGCACAGTACATATATGTGTTCCTTGTATCATGTGTCTCCTAAATGTGTTTTACATGCCATACTTATGTGAAACTTCTGTTCATTATAATATGTTTGTGTGGTCATCCTTGACTTTCAAATCCTTTGTTTTGAATTATGTAATTCAACTAGATCTTCTTTAGAGTATCTTCTTATGTGTTCTATATGTTATATTTGCTGTTATAGTCAAGTGCCCATACTTCCTACCTCCTTTTATCTCTGTAACTAAGCCAAAGTTTATCTCCCTCATCTGATACTCATGCCGTTTATCTGGCCAGTAGTTGTGTTATGTGCAGTTTTGAAATTTAAAGTTTTCCAGTTTTAGTATTGTACATACAGTATTAAGAATATTAATGTGAAGGTTAAACTAGCATTGGAGTAGGTTACGTTTTATGAAAGTGAAGTAAAGGTAGAAAATTTAGGTGAAGATGGAAATAGAGGAGGGTATTTTGTTAACAGATTTATCAAGAACGTTTATAAAATAGAGAAAAGTAGAGCTTGGAATGATAAAAATAATGGTTTTAGTGATTTTGCAATAACAATGAATGAATTGAAATAAAGGTAAAACCAAATCTTGAAAGAAAGGTTAAGTGTGTATACAGAGTGTTCCAGAAGGTGTTATACAGAGTATTTCATTAGTTGTACAGTAGTAAACTTGAGGCACAGTACTGTACATGAAGATGGAGCTTATATATTACTTAGATTCTTTGTCTTACTGAAAGGAAATCAATAGATTGACTATGACAAATAGGGTAATGGAAAGGTAGTACTAAACTGCACTACATTAAGACGAAATAAATTAAATTTCATCCAACATAAAAGAATTACGGTTAGTGAACAGTAATACAAAATAATTTATATAATACAGTACAGCTATAATATGCTGTACATATTTTATAAATGGTGAATTCCTTTTCTCTAACTTGAAAATGTTTTATTGCTTGATAGTTAATATTGTATGTTACCCCCAGTGGTTATGCAAATTGGGATTTGTAAAACTGGACAAACTTCAAGATTGCATGTAACATAGGTGACCTATCCCTGCCTGTGCTCCATAGCCCATTGCTTTGATTATCCTTCCTTACTAATCCTTTCTTGAATACGACCTGATCCACACAAATATGCTTGACATATCATCAATTCTCTTGGTTTTAACTCATAACATACAGTACCTCTATATATATATACCTGTACAGTTTATGATAACAATAAACACTCATATTCTCACACTGGAAGGGTCCTTGATGGTTTTTGTCAGTTTCATTACATTAGTCTGGAAAGTGTCTTCTTAATCTATAGGGTGGTACTGAACTTGAGGATTAATTTATTTATACCTGTACTATTGTTTCCTCTTATACAGTTACTGCAGTATTGTACAATATACTGTATATTGGTAATGTATTTGATTTTTTTGATTGAACCAACTACAGTACTTAAAAGTTTAAAGCAAAATGTACAGTGTTTCATTTCAATGAAAATATGAAATACTGTACAGGTGCATCTTTTTTATAGACAATACAGTACAGTACAATATACAGTAGTACAATAAAAAGTTTCTGTTCAATTTCTTTATCACTACAAGTGAAGTATGGTACAAGGAACTGTAATTAAATTGAACCATAGTACCTGTGCAAGTACAATTTAGACAAGAAGGTGGGAGGGTTATCACCTACCAATCCTATAATTTTTGTATGGTTTTGTATATAATTTCACAGTAAGAGGATCCTCTATACTGCCGATGACCAATTTCACTGGTCCTCACAGGGATAAATCAATTTACCATTGTAAAAATCAATAACTACATAAGTAATGTCATAAGAGCGACTTTCAGAGTCCAAAGGTAGAAGCAATATGACAGTCCTCTTGGTAAGGCTGAGTAATGACGTGGCTACTGTATTAAGTGCTTTGATTATACTTCATGTCAGTTTTCATAACATTAATGTAATGTTAATTTGTAAGTGATGTACAATAAGGTGTAGATATATTGTAATTTTATTTTGGGTATCATTTTATCTTTTATATATTAAGGGCAATGAAGAACAACAGTCAGTGATCTAGCTACCCTGAAAATATACGGAAAGTTAGCATTCTGCTTTCTTATGGTATAAGTGAAGTTCTTGTTGCTATTCAGTACTTGTAATAAGAAAGAAGATTACTGTACCGGTACAGAAAAGCATCTCAATTAAGGCCAAATATGTGATTGGTCATCCTTATTTTAATTCCAGGTGGTCTTTATTTTGACTTCAATTTATCTTGACTCAGTGAAGATTTAGTGAAAGTGATCTATATCCCTATGCATTGTATATATGTAATTTATTTCAGTAGGGTATTTCATAATTTTTTAATATTAAGATAAAACATCATCAACTGAATCCTCTTTGATTTAATTCAAATATTTCATTAGTAGCATTAATTTAATTGGTCATGTTTTCATCAAAAATTAATTGATATGAAAACAGCCAGTACTGTATCAAGGACAGTTGGCACTGAATTCAGCAAAATTTTAATAAATGACTTCATCAGCAGATGCTTCATCTACAGTTTCATGCTTAACCAAGGCATATTTACTATACTGTACAGGTAGTTCCCGAGTTATGACTGTCTGACTTATGATCATCCGCACTTACTAACGGGATCCCTATTGTACATTCATCACAAAAATTTTTAATTGAAATCTCAATTATGACATTACAGTATTTTTATTATTCTATATTGTTTAACATCACTTTATTTACAGTATTTACATTATTTGTTATGTATGAGATATTATTGTTGTTTTTAATGTGGTTTAACCTAACTTAAACCGACTTACCATCAAATTGACTTACGATCAGGGTCCAGGAACGTATCCCTGTCGTAAGTCGGGGACTGCCTGTACAGCAATCAGTACCTGTATATTGGTTAATCTGGACTCAGTGCTGGAAACAACAGTGCTCTTAATGGCTAATTACACTGGATATATTTGATAACTGGATTTTACTCTATATGTGTTTCTCCCACAAAAGGAGGGAAAACCCTATTCCAAAGACAGACCTAGCTAGTACAGGTGGTAAGAATGGTAGCCAGTCTTGCACTATCATGGATGTGTTTTGTGACAGTATCACCCACTCATAAACCAAGTCTTCAGAATGTTAGTATATCTGTACAGTACTGTATTTCAACTAACATGATTTCTATCATGGAAGTACCATTACATGTGTACTGTAATAATTTTTAGACTTCATCTCAATGTACGAATAACATAGTGTACAGGTACATACTACAGGTGTCCACTTTTTATTGAGAATATCTTTATATGTGTAGCAATGTATTGTCACCATATTATGAATCATTCAAATAACTGTTGTAGGAAATTTTTATGGTGAGCAAATTCAGTATAAATCATCAAGGACCTTTGACTGGTTATTAAAATGATTTTTTTTCTCAAATGTTATAATACAGTGGTAAAAGATCTTAAATTTATGTGCAAAACTCGTCTGTGCTATTCCATTACAAAAGTTTTCATTAACAAGAATACTTATATTTCTAATGACATATTATACAACACAAATTATCTCAGATTATAAGGACCTCAATATATCCTTTCGTTACAACATTCAGTCCATCATGCCCATATGTGTGTGTTGTGGCCGTGATGCACGCTAGTTTGAGTAACTAATTACCGAGAACTTACTTGTAACCTAGTGATACTAATTAAAACCTCATGATAATTATATTAGTTACGCGAGTGACATTTCTGCACTGGACTTCAACAGTTCAGGATTCAAAGGTGAGGAGGACCTTTATATTGATCATATCCAGATTAAATCTTTAAACTTAATCATTACTCAACCCATTGTCTCTAGAAAAAGTTATTGTATGATTCTGAAGTCCTCTTTTCTGGTTGAGTCCATAGTCAGTCAGTTGTTATTATTGCCCTACCAATACCGGTCAGGTCAAAATCCGGAAAGACCCCTGCAGTGGTAACTATGAACTGATTTTACAATCCCTCCCTATGTATCACCCTTTAAAAGGGAGATTTGAAGTGAGAATTGCCCTCTTTGAGAAGGAGGGCTAATAGTGCAATTTCAATCTGACCAGGACACACACACACTCACTATAGCTGCCATTTTGGATCTAGGATTGCCTTTTCATATTAGTTCCCAGTTGGCTACACATGTGTCCACTGGAGGAGGTAGGACATCAGAGCTGCTTAGCTTAGGCTTAACAAGGAAATGGGATTTCGGTATCATTCCTTCATTTCTGGACAGCCACCTCTGTCAAACAGCTCTTGTTGTTGCAACCAGCTAGAAAAGTGGGAGGAAACAGGCTAGATTGATATACACGATGTACACTCCTTCAACGGGGTTAATCCAGTTACTCCAGTGTTATCCTT